GACACAATAAAATTAACATTTACAATAATAGTGGCACCGCTATCAGTATTAATAAAATTACTACTACAAGTGATAATATAAATAATTGATGCATTTTTTAAAGTAACGGAATACCGGAAATTAGATTGTTTGATGTCACTAGTATGAATATTAATTTAACAGGGTAGCTTTATCTGGTTATTTTTCATGTGGGTTCTCATGCTTTAAATTTTTCTACTGTACATTCTCAGGTAATCTCTTTTACCATGTCCAGATATTAAAGGAATATGGAACAGATTTAGAGCTTCGTTCATACTTGCTTTTAGCTCAATATCCGTCGCTAAATTATGCAAGTTGTCACTTCATTTGTGCATAATATAGATAGTGTTGCTATACTAAAATTGATTTATTACTTAAATTACGTTAATGAGTGATAATTGAATCTTTCCACAATAATAGAAGTAAGTCTCACGATGTCAGTCAATTTCACCTAGCCTTACCTTCCAAAAATTATTTTTGTCTAGGGCGTAGTTTTCACACCACCTGGGCCTGTAGCACTCCAAACGGAAAAAGGATTTCTTTTTACCTTATTGCTAACGAAGAAGAATGCCTTTGTGCCTTAATTGGAATAATGCTAATACTATTAAATGTTCTTTCATGTAATAGTCCACGTATTTATTTTAGTATTTCATTACTATTAAGCCACATATATTATAGGTGGTTGCCTTTTGTTTTTTGATGCGAATAAATATATTATTACAAAGGTTCGAACCTTATAGAGCTTATCGATTATATCACCATCAATTAACAACATTAGATTACTCACAACGTTTATATGCAGGCTTCGAGACTACTGGTAGATCATATATGTATGAGATGCATTCACCATGTTTTGTTTAAGGAGATTAAAGGCTAATAGTTACATTTTCCCACAATACTATTAGTAGGCCTTACGAAGTCATTAAATTTCACTCAGCCTTGCTTTCTAAAGGGTAGTCTCATCCAGAGCGTATTGCTTTTTCGACCACCGATCACAGGGAGACGCGAATTTCAAGGAATCCTAGGCCTTCACCATTTCACATTTTTATGTTGAGATTGTCGATTAAGCAAAGTTGGTTGTATTTGCCATTACATGCGACTACCTTTCTTATTTTTCATTTATAAGTGGGATTCCTTGAGATTCTCGTTTGCCCTCTGCTGATGAGACCTATACAAGATCAGAATTGCAAGCCATCTTGGATGAGAATGCCTTTAGGGAATCAGGGCTATACGAAATTCAATAGAAATTTTAAGCTTACTAGTATAATTATATAAAAACCTAACTACCAGTCCTTCATAGGGTGAATACGTCTTATATATAGAAGATGGAAAACTAATGGGAAACATTAACCCTTTTTAATTACTCATGAATAGTCTAACTTTCGATGTCTGCTACACCATATACATTACTTTTGGGTTATTTTTTCCTATTAAACATGCGAACCCCTGGCTAAGTGATCGTATTTAAACCTATATAAATTAGGTATCTAAACGTTCAAGTAATCATAATTGTGTCTAATTTAGCGAAATCATATAGCTTAAAGGATCTTTATTATTTGCCATAAATTACCTGCACCATCTCAATTTGATTTCCATTTTCTTAAATGTATTACTAGCAGAGTGGAATTAGTAGAGTGCAAATGCATATTACAATCAAGTTGTACAATTAGCTTTAGAAATTTTACATTTATACGTTTCTAATCTTTTTTCTAGAAGAGGATGCATTTAAACGTTCATCACTTAATTGACTTTATAAACTTTGATAGGTATTCTGTGATGTTTGATAATGGACAGAGGCAATGTCCTGATTTTGCCAATAATTTTGGTTTTTACGTTTAATTATTATATCTAGTTACATTCAAAACTAAAGTTAACCCTAAATGATTAAGAACTTTTGGTGCACGACAGTGCAATCAATGGAGAAGTCAAGTTTGCTTCAGTTAATAGTGTATATATTAGTTAACAGCCCATGTATCACTGATAATTCATTTTTTAACATTCTTATACTACATAATTCACTGATAGCTTGGATACCTAAGAAACTCATTTTATCTTCACATAGCCATCATATTTTTTTAGTTGCTTCCCTTTTCCTATTATCATGTGCTTCGTTCCGCATTAGCTTTCTACACCATTCACAAGTTTTTGTTAAATTTAAGATTTTATTTGATTTTTTTAACTAGTCCTCTTGGAAGTATTAAAATACGTTTACTTTTTCTTCTAAGTTTAAAACTGTCTGGAATTTTATAGATATCTACTTCCATTAATTATAACTATTTTCGTTAAAAATTTTATCAACTTATATCAGTTATACTTAAGAATTTTATTCATCTTTCGTGAATAAATCCGATTAAAATATTTTTTTATTTATGTGTCTATTCTCATTTTTAATAACTTCATTTCTTTCTCTCCTTACTTTTGTATGAAATCGGAGAATAAATGATACTAATCTTGCGACTTATTTGTAACTCATAATTATGTCATAAATTAAGAAGAAGTGCATTTGCTATCCTGCCTCTTGAAGCCATGTATGAAAAATTTCCCTTAGCTACTCTTTTCCGTAATTTCTCTGAACAAGATATATTCCACTTACTAATCTAACTTTATGAAAAATACGTTGATGCAACTAAAACCTCCCTCAGTTAATTATTTAAAAATATGTTTCGGAATTTTACCCATAAAAATTTAGTACTGTGTGCTACAACTTCTCCTTGATCAATCAATAATTCAATCATATTATTGATCAACATAGTAATGGACGGCACTTGTAATGGTTACCTTTGACGGTAGATCAACTGAACAAACGGGAGATTTAGCCATTGGATTATATTTGTCTTAAAATATTAGCGAATAACTTCATGGCTTATTTAAGAGTTCGCCTTTTTCAAGAGACACTCTTACTTACCAAGATCAATAATGAGAAATAAACGAAAAATTTTTATTCTTAAAAGTTATCTACTTACACTGGTAATAAACTTTTTGACATTTTTAATAAACAGATTTAGAAGAAGCAGCCATTTAGAAGGAATCAGGTTATCATCCTATCAGGGTTCGAGAAATAGGATAATTGTTAAGAAAATGGAACTTTAGGACCATCAAGGGTTTTAGATTGCCTCGAAGACTTCTTTACAAATATCAACATTCATAGCTACGAGTTCCTTTATTGTGGACGATTACTTCAACGTTGTTTTTTTCTCACTTTTAATATTAGCTCCTTTCCACTTTCATTACAGATTATTGACCCCACTCAGATCCTAACGAGCCACTTGGACAAATTGGTTTGGCCCCGGGCCTGCTGGCGTGCCGACTGTCTTATTCTACCAATTAGATTAACTAATGATAATCTCACCGATTCGTCAACTGAACCTTCTAGCTTGACTGAACAGCTGCGATTACTGACAGGCCTGAGAGGTCATCTTATACACCGGTGGACTCCTAACCACCCGGTTTTGTCCAATCGCTCATTTTGTCATCGCTGCATTAGTTTGCTGCGCGTGCGAGTCGCGACTGATGGGGCGGAGTGGGAGGAGAGTCAACGATATAACATAGCAGAAGTGAAGTTTATTTTAAGGGAAAAGCAGCTACAAGGAAATGAAGAGGAAGCAAAAAGTGAGAGTAGAGAGAATACCAAGATTGAAACCAAATTACAAAGGTGTAAAGCGCATGAAAAGGAAGATTGCAGTGAAGATCGAATAACAAAAGCAGATTATCAGTCCATGATATGGGCTAAGGATTGTTCTGAAAGGCATCTTGGATCTGACTTAACTTGCCAAGATGTTGATACGAGAATGGTGACTCGGCGTAGCATCGAATTGAGCGCCGATAGCCTGTTAGTTCGAGCTCATTTGTGGGCACGTCTGAATAGCCATCTTTTAGCTGTATGGGAGGACTGTGGATTGCGGCCCCTCTTTTAAACTCGTTTGAAGTCCATCAGGGTTTGATCATTTTTTCTTTTCTACTACCCCAACACAAGATAGATGATCATTCAAAAGGGCCGTAAGGTTTTCTTTTGGGCTACCTTCACATACATATACGCTTAGGACCGTCTACTTAGTTCTTACAGTAATGGAATTGGATGCAAATGTTTTCCATGCTTCGTCAATTATCACGACCGGCATTCTTCC